TCAAGCTTAGAACGAAGGCCTATAGTATTTGCCCGTAAGTGTGATCTGTGACTGGTCGACATGGAACTTGAGACGGCAGAGTCAGTGGCCAAACTGTTAGCCAACCCAACCTAGAGTCCGCATAAGGCTTTCATACAGGCCCTAAGGCTCCCTCAGGCCAAAGATGAACCCAGTATGTTTTCACACCTCTTGCCGTGTCGCGTTACAGAGGCGAAAAGGAGACATGACTAAGCCAGAAGAAGAAAATGCGATCGCTGGAACATTAAGTTTATTGACCTGATGTTTCAGATTCTCAATCGTCATTGGAGACAGTCGCAGATAAAGGTCTGGACCGATTCCTGGGACTCGCCTGTTCGCTTCTATTGATATGAATAATTGCTAGACACCTTCATTCTCTTCCTCTACCTGCCCCTTCCCAAACCCTTAAGAGGAGGTGACTACAACCCCTAACCTCTGAACGCTCTCACCCTCTCGTCCGCACATACTGTTTATTGGCTGTTTTAAACTGTTATTTATCTACCCTCTCTCAAATTACTGTAAAGTCTGATGGTGAATAGTCCAAGGCTTAGGTCTGTGGAACATGGCTTCTGGAGTGTTTACACAGGTATCATTGCTGACCATTCGGCTGATGCTTATGGTAGGTGGGCGTATAGTGGAATAAAAGTCCGCCATTTGCGAAAATGCGGCCTTTGGCGGATGCAAACTTACACAGGTCTTACAATATTCACCGTGGAGACTACAAACGCAACCCAGACGGCGATGCGGAGATTCACGCGTCGATGCGGGTTACTGATTACTACATCAACAGACACCATACACAAAATTCGTGGTGAAAAGTACTCGAAGCGACTCAGTAGGCGCTCTCAGGACTAAACGGAAGGGGATGACCTTATAGGGACAAGCTGAGGCGTTTGTACCCTGAAACTAGCGAGCTGATGGCGGTGTAGGCACTTGGCAGTCCTGTGGCAATTCAGTGGTCCGAAAACAAACAGTCTCTGAAGTTATTTCCTGTCCTCACATCTCACGCACACAGATTTGAGAACTGGAAACGTTCGGCGCCAGTAGAGTCGGATAGTGTTTTTGGGCCGGTGGGCAGACAACGACAGCAGATAGTTCGACAACCCCGGGCACTATAGCGTGAACAACATTCACCACATGGGCAATAGCCACGTCTGCAGCATGCAGACGGGGCAGAGGGGGAGAGTGAATTGCAGGCAGAACGGGCTTGTAGTCGCACAAATTCAAAGCTTGATTTCGGGGGGGGGGGAAAGGGAGAGCGGTGATGGTAACGACGATAATCCACAGCAACAGCCATAAACTGCCCATCAGATGCATTTTCCGACAACACTGGTTTATTAAATATTCGGTGTCGCACTGTACCCACTAGGAAACCCATTTACTGGAAAGCAATCAATAGTGTCAATGACCGGCGACGTAAAACATTATTTCTGCGTCGATTCCTGTATGGAACAAGAATTTCAGACCACAAATGCTGCATATTTTAGGCGTTCTGATATGCCCATCTGACAGAGGTTTGTCACTTTAGACTAAAACCTGCTTAATGCAGTAGCAGACTTGGCAGACCCCTTCGTAGCGAGTATATTGACTAATTCTCTAAGCCAGAAGGCTGATAAATAACATCGGTCTATTAGGATAGTCTGCAATGCTTCGTTACCCACTCGGAAGCCATTTTCCTACAAACTAGCAACGTCATGGTCCGGTGATGCGAGAAATTACTGCTGCATAAAATCATGCATGAATGAGGAAACATAATATCCGTATGGTTGCTTATTTTGGGCTGATTACTACTTCCGTCGGGCTTAAGCATGTTGGTTTAGCGGGATACACATGCATGCGTTGTCCGAGTCCATAAGTCCCTCAGCATATGGGGGCGATCGTTTCATTAAATCTGCAGCGGAGAGGATGGCTAATTCTATTTGCCGGGAGCCTAAGTGCCTCGATAAAATATACTTACTTGTTGTCACTTGGAATCAGTTAGTATGAAATCGTATTGTTTGTTCTTACATCACTGGACTTTTATTTTCGCCTAGAGGTAAAAAGTATCCATTTTATACTCAACTCACATGTGTAGTAAGTGATACAAGAGCGCGCGAAACCCTACAAGCGAATTCAATACTAGAGGCTGCAGACCAATATTTATCCTACTTCGCCCATTTCGTAAAAGTCAGAAGATAAGGCTTTCGATCAACGTGGAGCGATTATTTGCCTCATGGCTTCAAATAAAACCGTGGAATCAAAGGCGCTTATGAAGTATAAAAAATATTCGGGCATAGGGACACTTCTCTGGAATTTCCCAATTACAGGGTACGACGAACCCCATGTGAATTATTATTTCGAAAAGCCTTTATGTTTGTGGAGTGAGAAATTCTGTGATCGCTACCAAGCGAGAGATTCAAATACCACTCAAGAGTCTGGAGCGATGTACCCTCGTAACGTGAACAGACACGAAAGATGCCGAATATTCGCTGAACCGAATTCGTCAACTTTTGTACTTAAGCTCACGCCAAGTCCACCTTCGGTCAAAACAAAGCCGATGGGGTGATTACTCATATATTCGTGACATAGCATCTTCCTTAAAAGGCAACCGGCCATGTGTAGGACGTCCGTGTCAACGGGGTCCCTGTTTGATGCGTAAACAGGGAAATCTTGCCAAAACAATAGGGAAGAGTGGGCAACGTCCATGTAATGAGTTCGGTCAGATGCGGTTATGTATCCGAGCCGGAGATGAACAAACTCCAGCCACCTGTAATACGAAATCGACGGTTATAGGTGTTTTTACAGGTGGGGCCGGAGAACGCACAGTCGACGAGGTCAAATAATTGTGTGCAAATAAAGCTAGTGGGAATGTGCGGTTGTACTTTGGGTGATTGAGAAAAGGGTGCCCTAGCCAATAACCCTATACCCTAACCCAACCCCTAAGCCTAACCCCCTACTCTAACTCCTAACCCTAACCAATAACCATGACCCCCAACCCTAGCCCCTAACCCTGACTCCTAACCCAAATCACAAATCCTAACCCTGACCCTAGTCCCAACCCTAACCCTTAACCGCAGCCCTAAATTCTAACCCTGAAACATCCAAAGCGAAAGCTAGAAAGAGACGACAGGCCGAAAGTCAAGAAGGACCACCGGAATCGGGCCAACAAAGAAACAAAGCCGACAACAGAGCACACACCGCAACGCACAGAAACACTATGCCAACATAATCACACCAACTCAACTAATTAGGTAGGACAACACTACTGTGTCCATCACGTGCGGCTACATAATCACATCTTACCCAGAAGTCAGCCAGCGTGTTAAACTCTGCAGTAGGGCGGCTACAGAGATGGGAATGTGTAAAATCGACAATTTGATACGAACGGCGCTGTTAATTGTCATGGTAAGTTGGACGAACACGACGCCAAATGGTCACCTGAGTGCACTCATTATGTGAAATCAAATAAACAAATAGACGCTTTGGTTGTCGTTTTTACCAAACTGAAATGCCTGCCGTCAGAGCTCAACGGCTGTTTTCGAAGCAGACATGATTGAAGTACCTCACGCGTGTGTACGGCCTTCCGCTTTTGACCGACACGATGTCCTGGCGGTCACGTGATTACAGTTTTCGAGTTGCTGGACGCCTTAAGCGCAGAGGACCTGGGACAGCCAATCACGAGCGCTCTTCAACTCTGCGAGCACCCAACAGACTCTTCTAGCGGATGACTGACTGACTCTCACGTGATGTTTGCTCAATGACGCCTACGCCATCCTAACGCGCAGACGAACGAGGGCCCGCGGCCGGCATCGCGTCGTGTGTACTGACATCCATTAGGCTTCTGCGCAGACTACACTTCTGATAGTGGTGTTTACCCCTTGCCCCCTGAAGCAATATTAAATCGTGGCGATTGCGACGCCCTGAGCGCATACACTATCCTAGTAGCTACAGGGTATAGCTGACTACTGGAGAGTCACAGACACCAAGGATTTGAGTGTTGCAACCTGTAAATGTGTGGTCCCCTGTTAAAGACAGAATGTTACTACCGATAAAGACAGGGGAGGCTAGGATGGGCTTTTCCGGCTCACTAGCCGTTATCACCCAGTCATACTCAACCCCGAAGTGTAGAACACCTGGGACTCGATCCGGCGACCTGTTAGTCAGAAGTCCAACGCCTCTAACCACTGAGCTACGGGCTCGCTGACCTGTCGGTTTCGATCGGTTATGAACAGTGGTTGAGGGGCACTCACCGATCGTCCTTATGGAACTCACACGCCTCTTGTTAATGCTACGCAGCGTAACACCAGGCTGGCTCACACTCTTCAGTCATTTTTGTACCCGCTTCAATGACTCGGACAGGCGGCAAAGGGAAGATGGGGCTAATTTCTATTATTGACAGTCAAAACCGATTTTTGATTTTCAGGACACGATTACATTTCGTATCTTGAATCGCTGCCCAGAGGCGGGGGAACTGGCTTCCTCATTGCAAAGCGGGTCCGACTTCAACGGCGGGCCGCGAAATTTTTTGGTCCCTGTACCTACATCCACCTCCGGAAGGTTGTCCTCGCCCTACCATGACGACGCTTCGAACGTTATAAGAGTGGAGAGAAGTCAGTGCAGTAGAAGTCCACTCTGCCATAACTAAATGCACGCGCAAGTCCTTAACGTGCCCTCTCTAGGAGAGAAGTAGTCGACGTCCACTGAGACAGAATAATGCACAGATGATGCTAAATAACACATCTAAAAGCAGGCCTTTGGACGAGAATCGACAATACATCGCAAACAAAAATCGCCATCGCGTCATCATATCGTGGTCTTGCTAGACCCAGATATTCACTTGAAATCATTCCCTCCCTTGCACACGCAAGATGATTGACATATAATCCACTTGTTAGTACTAAGGGCAAAAAGGAGAACGTAGGCGAATCAGTCTAAATTATCTTTAGTTTTAATAAGAGCTTTCACAATGACAACCAATCAGAGGACGCGAATATTCCCATGAACTATGTATCTCCACGCCATGCGGCCATGACGTTGTTGAAAGGGCGGGCCATATACGCATCCGAACTTTGGAATTTCTTGATCGGCTCCAAATTCTAAAACGAAACCAAAAGTTTGTGGACTTTATGAAAATATTCTGGGGGGGGGGAGGGGTCTCGGAAACGCGGACCCGCTTGTTCGCAAATTATTGCTTGCCTGATATTTCAGTAGACGTAGTGCCACTTTCGGGTGCTTTAAGTTTGAGGTACTTCGCGGACTAATATGCTTATGACTCACAATAACGTTAGAATTCGGGTTAGCGTTTAGGTCAATTGGCAGGCTTTTCCTACAACTGTCGTCTACGGTTGGTTCTGATTGGTCACATTGTGGCCTTAGCGGGCCAATCACCACTGTCGCTAGTGGAGATGGTCTTTACTGGTACCCGCAGCGAATTTTTGAGTTGTCCGCCACTTACGCTGAGATGTAATACCCGGTGAAGGAAAACTGGCCCATTTACCTATACTTCATGCGTCTACCATGTGTTTCAACGGTTCCCGTACTAAACGCATTTGGGCTTCTCCGTTTCCTAGCAAGGCCCCGTTTACCAGCCATGCCATTTTGATTCATAACCGCACCTCGTTAACTGTTTCATTTAAAACACACTCTTGAACAAGATTTTAATTAAGTCTCAGAGACAAATACAAACAAAAGCTGCGAAACCAGACATGTGTGCGTTCGCTAAACACGTATAGAAATAACGTTCTCGAAGGGAAAAACACAACTGCGACGGTTTTAGTAAAGCAAGCGTATATTCCACGAAAAAAATGGTCAAATTAAAGTGTAACACATTGAAATGCGCTTTTCTGCGTTTCTGCCTGGTGGAAAGACAAACTGTGGCGCAGCGTCCCCGCGGAAATGAGCTTCGAGAGCATTCAACGCTTACACAGCAGAAAAAACTTGTGTTTCCACCAACTGGTTAAACTGCACTGCAACCAGGACAGACCAACAAACACCGGCTCCAGGTGACCTACTACTACTACTACTACTACCACTACTACTACTACTACTACTACTACTACTACTACTACTACTACTACTACTACTACTACTACTACTACTACTACTACTACTACTACTACTACTACTACTACTACTACTACTACTACTACTACTACTACTACTACTACTACTACTACTACCACTACTACTGCTGCTGCTGCTACCACTACTACTGCGGCTATTAGCGCACCTTGCACATCGATCTGATTGTTTACGTGGTAAAAGGATAGCGCTTCAGCGATATGGTGTGTTTGAGAATGATTTTTGACTCTGCGAAGAACTTAAATGTATCCAGAAACAGATGAGCGACGTCTACCAGGTTTCACTGAAAAGGCGGAAAGCTAATTCGTTCCATCAACTACGACGCTCGTTCCGGCTTGAGTTAACAATAGCACTGTCTGATAAAGCTCCTACTGCTCCACAAAAGGATTCAAAAAGCAAGTAGATGAAACTTGCCTCAAATCGTTCCATATAGTTCTTTAGATTAGGAAATTTATCCAAGCAAGGTGGCTCTAGCGTTCTTAGTGCATCCAGCAGGTCGTACAGGTTGAAATCCGGGTAATTGATCTGTGTAATTGAAAACACAATAACATTTACAGTGCGAAATGAGAACAACACGCCTCCTACAGAGAGACGGTCCGGAAATTCTGCACAGGACTCAACTAGTAACATGCATACACGTGAACTTACGAGATATGCGTGAGACTATACCTTTCGTCTGGCTTATTGGCCGTCATCCGGCTATACCTAACCACGAGGCGTGTCATACCTTGGACTCGATTTTACGACCTGTTGGTTAGAAGACTAACGCCTCTAACAACTGAGCTCCGGTCTTGCTGTCCTGTCGTTTGCGATCGGGAATAAACGATGGTAGAGGGGCGCTAACCGATCGTTTCTACCGAACGCACTCGTCCTGCGTTGTGCCTTGGGGCTCTCTCTCGAGCGCAACCAGCGGCCGCATAGCGTCGCGTAATATAGGCAGAATGGTATTACCGACAAAGACTAGGAAGACTGGAATGGCCATTGTTAACTTACTGGCCGTCGTTATCCAGACATACCTTACCCCGAGGCGTGTCATAACTTGGACTAGATCTCACGACTTGTTGGTTAGAGGTCCAACTTTCTAACCATTCAGCCGCGACTTTGTTGTCCTGTTGGTTGCGATCGGGTATATAAAATGGTAGAGCGCGCGGAGGAGCTCACCGAAACTCACTTGTTTTGCTGTGCCTTTGCACTCTCTGGAGCACCGAAAAAAGGCGCGTGTCCCCAAATAGATGCAGTATTTCTGGACACGCCGCAAAGCGATTTAGCCAGCAAGTACCGAGAGAAACAGGAGTCGGCATCGTCAGGTCACTTCGCAGTGATCAGGAATCTCTAAGAAGCAGCTCACCAATCCTACATTCTGACCTCAACGCAGAGAATTTTCACAAAAGCGCACTAAAGTGGGCGACAAATGGCATTGTCACATCTGTGAACAAGAGAGTGGTATTATGTATAAAAGTTTTATAAAATGAGTAGGTTCAGAAGAATAACACTTACGCACACGCATATTTTACATAAAATGTTAAGATAGGAAAATATTGAAGACACAATGCTACGACATAATCATATAATTGAGTAAAGTAGTATGATTACCTTGTCACCGGTAAGCCAGTGCTTCTTTCCCAGGTAGTTGGACCATGTTTGCAGCTTTTCAGGTAAGCTGTCTAGGAAGCCTTGTTTTAGCTTGTTCTAAATAGAGCAAAGCATGTTTAGTCATGTACTTAAATGGAAGAACAGGTTTCCTGCTATCGCATCTGGCGATGGAACGTATTTTAGCGTAATGTGAGAAACTTACGAAGTCTGGGTTGTAAACAACGCGAAGGTAGCTGCCCCTTAAGTCGGCGAGTTCCGCTTGCAGCATATGCAAAACAGCGCGTCCCTCGGCAGTGCCTGGAACTAAAATCAAAAATGGTGTTTAACGGATCAGAAATACAGATCTGGAGTGAAACAATGTAGTTCTACGGGTACAAAGGTCTCTTTATGGAAGATCATAAACCAGTCTTGAGTGGAAATTAATAGTGACAATCGAGTTTACAGGCCCGTAACTGAATGCGACTGCAGCTGACATAACTGCCCTACTTACTGTATGCCTGCATAACTAGTAACATTCAAAAACTATCGACTTGATTTGCCCGCGCTTGAAAGCCTGCATTATTCTGCTTAAATTTGCTGGTCTACTGTTAGCAAAAGTCCCGAATCAACATTCAGAAAATAGACGGCGCTATCCACAGGCAGATAATCAGTTTAGGGTCTAAAAGAGGGTGTGAGCAACTTACGCATTCCATGTTTGTCAGCCACGTATTCCAAGACGGCACTAGACTGCGTGATCTTTAATTCGCCATCAATTAAGTATGGTAGCTAATTTAATGAGTTTTTCGCAAAGTCAACTTACATTGGGGAAGTCAAGACCTTTATTGAATTTAACTTTTAGCCATGATTCCGCGGAGAAAGTGGGCGCTAAAAAACCGAGTAAGACAGCGAAACAAATTACGTCCACCGGCTTCATACAGTTCTTCAACATAATCTTCACCGCAGTAATGGAAGAGGAGACGGATCGCTTGGGCCAACTGAAACGGGAGATAAATAAGCACAGTTGTCAATTTAAATTGTCGAACAATAAATCACAGTAAACAGAAAAGTTAGCCCAACCAATCAACTTACCACTACTATGAATAAGCGCATAAAGCTAAAATTTGTCACCCGCCCTACTAATAGACAGTCCAAATGTGATTTGTACGAGTAAAATGTTTCTGACAGTTTTTTGAACTACGATTATGCAGTCTGTTGTCCAGTCTTTAACTTGACGATGATAGAAACTGATTGCTCAAAAGTGTATCATGGGATCACAACTCCGCGGAAATATCGCGCTCGAGTCCGTGCGTACGTCAGAAACACCGACATGTGTAGTGGCTGGTTATCCCTAACAGAAGTTATTCTTAGGAGAAACAAATAAAGGCAAGCATGCAACGACGTAGGAGAGTACGCGCTTATCCTCGATCATAAAAATCTTTTGCTTAGGGCCTACGTCGTAAGGACCAATGTTGCTACTTTCAGGCATATATAAAAATGGGTCTGTCGAGGTTACACTAAATGACCTCCAGTGAAATATGGTCCTCGCCTACTCCAGCGGTGTTTCAATCCTACGCAAGATAAAAGTCGAAAAAATCATGCAAGAGAACTTTTAAGGGCCTTAGACTCTAGACGACTCGTAGCCTCACAAAGCATCACTATCTGATTAAACTTCAAAAAGGATGGTATTCTATCTGACTAGGTTTTAACACAGAAAACAGTACACAAAAACCGGATTTCGGGAACAGAGGACATGCTTGTATGGATTTTAACTCTTGCTCATATACGCACGGCAATGGGTCAAAAGTAGTTTTTGCTGTGCCACTGGTATTTCGTCAAATGTAGTCTACTTCCGGACAGTAAACAGCAGTGTGTCCTAATGAAGTGGATTTAAGACAAAAGTGGCCTTACAGAGACGTGTTTTAGAAAATAGAGACGGTGCGACGGAGGCATTATGGAAACATTATGTAAAAACGGAATGAAGACGAAGTCAAAAATACATATTTAAATAAATATCAAGGAGTCCTGCAAACAGTTAACTATTTCAGATATTCAGATAAATAACGTGCAAAACATGCTGTTTCTGCAAAAGAGCGGAAAAATCACATCTTTAAAATAAGAAACAAGGACAGATATCAACCATATCCACTTTCGTCATAGTTCAAAAACGCGAGTTTTGGAACCTAGGGCGGATTTTTGTCGAAAAATTGAAATAAAATAAACAGCACAAAGCACTACCACCTGAAGACGAACTACTATAGTAAGCGTCACACGCAATGCCAAGCCCGCCTAAACGATCCTACTGAATGACCTATATCAGTGCAGCTGGTCCAGGTGCACGATCTTCTACTGCACCAAACTGAGAAGGCTAAACGACCGGCTACTAAACATCGATAATTTCCAAAGCAGGATTCTGGAGGATAATTTTCGGAGCAATTAGCAATTGGACCAAGTAATGCACATATCTGGATGCTCGATTGGAATCTTCAAAAACTCAGCTGGTCTGTTAAGTTAGTCTCGGAGTTTCAGAATTCTGAAACCTTAAAGTATCCGGACAATATATGGTTTCCAAATATTTCAAAAAATCCTCTTTGGGATGTTAAATAAGTTATGTTGCTTAGCGTCTCACGGCCTCCACAAACACTGGAACTGAAAGAAAGAATCTCTGCCTGACCAGGTTATATCTTGGTCGACGGAATTCTAAATGTGTTACGGTCAGACGCAACGAACGATTCAAATTATGGGAGCAGAAAACATGTCACCACTACAGTGTTGCTTGATTTGACATTTGCCGGACAGTGATTATACCACGCTCATTCCAGGAAATTTCGTTTTATATATGCGAGCCGTGTTGGCGTCATGTCAGCACTGACGTAAAGAATCGGTTTGCAGCTGAAAGCGGCCTTATGATAAAGATAAGGCAGAAAAGTCAGACAGTTGGACAAGTATGGTGCAAAAATTACCCCGCGAATTTTCCAATAGCCGAGAATTGGTTGTTGCGACATGCCCCACAGAATTCCGGAGTAGTGTGAATCTCGACTTCGGCATCGACAATGCGCAACATTTAAATATGTAGGGTGAGTAGTGACACGACCTTGCCTTTGTTTTAATCTATGAGACCAATAGTTCTTTCCATGATGCGCGATGGTATTGCGTGCTCCAAGTGGCGGATGACAGGTTTTGGGACCGCTGGCCACGACCGCCTCCTACTCTGTTTGCATGCCAGATAATCTGCAGTTCAAAGGGGAATTTTCGTCCTGTGAAGAAGTGTTACTACCATAGTTTACTGACTTTCCATTGTCTTCGTCATTTTTCGGAAATTCCTCTGTTGTTCTCATCTATTTATACTTTTCTAACATTATAAAATTCCACATTTAAGTCCATTATGTGTATCACTAATAATATGACCTCGTATATTTATGTGTCGTGCAGGATTAAATCAGTCTTTCCTTGGTATGTCTTGTGAGAACGTACTTTAGCGTCTAACTACGGCCCGTCAGGATAATTTGGGTTAAAATGCATAGAGATTTGCCAGAGTTTTCCGTGTCAGACCACAAAGAGTTTCGAGCATTTCGTGGAAGAACAATTCTGCAGTTATCGTGTCAGAGTCTTTTCGGATAACCTAATAACAATAACCCAAACATACATTTATTGACGTATCCCAAATAACCACTCTTCAAGGCGTTCAGTCTAATTCAGTTCAGTTTATTGTGGGAAATAGGCGTAAGTCTTTGAGTACCCTATTTGCAACGTGAAAGTGTGTGGTATACAGAAGAATGCTCTGGGCTGAAATAGTTCAAACGAGCCCATGATGGTAGGACAAAATGGGAACGAGTTACGGCGGAGGAGCTCGACTTTTCCTAGCTCTTGGTCATTTCGGAACATAAATATGACAAGGTTGTTTTAAAAAATTTGTATAGATGGTGACATCACAAAATCTGCGGTAAGAGCATTCCATGGTTTGACCATTCGAACAGAGAAGGAGAACTTCCGCACATCCAGCCTTGCCAGCTGAGTGCGCAGTTTTAACGGGTGATCTAGGAGGTTGGTCGTGGTAGCAAATTAAAAAAGTCCTCGAAGGTCAGGCTGTAATCCAACTCCTTTACAATGCGGAATGCCTGCTAGAGATCCCCGCGAATTCTATCCAAAGAGAAGAAGTTTACATTTACTGGGCGGGCTGCATAAGGAAAGGAGCTTTGACCCCTAATCATCTTCGTGGCTCTCCTGTGCACATTTCGTGGCAGTTTTGATCCTCAACCGCCGCGGTCTCCAGGCTTGTATGTCGTATTCCAAATGCGACTGAACGAATGTTCCGAATGTCTTTGAGAATGCTTCGTCGTCAAAGTCCATAGAAGCACGCTTGATTGAGTACAGTACAGACATTGCTTTTTTGTCTGAATGTCTGTAGGTATGGAACCTTATCTACAAAATATGGAAAGGGTGTTTCGCACAAGTCTCTCGGATAGCTGACAAGACATAGCGGCTAAAAACAACAAAATGTAAAAAATAACATTGGGAAGAGATAATTTGATTCAAAACTTCTAAAAAAATATCCGGCAAACTCTCAAAAATTCTTTGTATGCGTGAATAAGGCGAAACCCAACCGGAACTGCATTCCCTGTCTAAAAGATCGCCAGGGAAATACGCTGTCTGGCAACTCGGATAACGCGAAGCCGTTGTCCGACTTCTTCACGTCTGTGTATACCGAGGAGCCGGTTCTTGATGAAGGTCTTTGCCCCCCCAGTTGTCAAATCAAACAATACAATTAGCACGGTGGACTTTACAACAGTGACGGTGAGGAAAACTTTGAGTCAACTACAGGCCCCTAAGTCCCCTGGTCCGCACGCTATGCTCGCAAAAGTCCTGAATGAACTCTCAGACCAACTGACCTCTCCGTTATCCAGAATCTTCAGAACTTCGATTTTGACTGGGGCTCTGCTTACGGACTGGAAGAAAGCAAATATAATCGTCATTTGTAAAGGTGGCGAGAGAACAGCCCCAAATAGTTTCAAACCAGTGAGTCTCACAAGCGTCTGTTACAATAAGATGGAAAAGGTAATAAAAAAGAAGCTTATTAGGCATTTTGAAGAAAACCACTTATTCAGTTTGCATCAGCATGAATTTCGAAGGGGTCGATCCTGTCTCATTAACCTGCTAGCTGGATAGCTGGACGAAATCAACCGTCATTGGCTTATCTGTCGACGCCGTGTACATTGACTTCAAAAAGGCCTTTGACAGTGTTCCACACAGACGACTTATAATTAAATTACGTCAAGTGGTTGTGAATGGAAATCGGTTAAATGGTTAGCCGATTTTCTTACGGGCAGATCTCAGCGTTTGTACATCGGAAACGCTAAATCGCAATGGGCACCCGTCCACAGTGGCGTTCCGCAGGGGAGCGTCCTGTGTCCAATTCTGTTTTTAATATATGTGAACGACTGTCCGGACTGTCTGAACTACGAGCGAGTAATGTTTGCCAATGATCTAGAATTGTGGAAATCAATAGAGAAGCCGGAATACTCTGAACAATTACAAGACAATCTGAATCGCCTGCAACAATGGTGTGATGAGTGGTGTCCTAGCCTCAATCGTAGCAAATACAAACTTATCGGATCACGATCGAGCAGCAGGAGACCGTTGAGATTTGAATCTCACTACTTCATTGGAGGTCACCAGCACGAATCGGTCAACCAGTGAAGATACCACGGTGAGTGGATGAAGTCAACCATCAAACTATCGTCTCACTGTGCCAAGGTAACAAAGAAAGTTATGGGTATCCTAGGCACGATAAGAAGATCCTTCCTCAATTTTGACGAAGAACTTTTCAGTCGAGTATTTGGAGCATTCCTTCGACAAATGTTGAAATATTGTGTTCCGGCACGGTGTCCCTGGACGAAGCAATATTACGCCCTACTGGACAACGTACAACGAAGAGCCACCAAGCTTGTGGGTGGATTAAGTAGCTTAGCTTACGAGAGACGCCTGGAAAAGCTAAAAATATTTCATCTCTCTTATAGACAATACAGAGGGGATATGATCTTCTCCTTTAGGATCGACCGAGGACTAGACTGTGCCCTTAAGTTTGACAATTTCTTCGAACTGCGGCGGACGACAGATCTTCGAGAGTACCAATGGAAATTGAAGCTAAAATATGCCCTACTGGAATTGCGGTCCAAATGCTTCTTCTGCCGGCTGGTTGAGGGATGGAACAAATAACCGAACTCCGTTGTCTTAACGGAAAACGTTGAGACCTTCAAAAGAGGATGGTAAGACATTTACACGCTATCAATGAGTGGCATAATTGCTATGTAAATATCTGCTTGTTTTCTTTGTAGGTCTATCTGTAAATAGGGTTTTCCAAGGTTCTGCCTATGTCCCTCATATATTCTGAATTATAGTAAATTAAAATAGTATTGAAGATGGAAATGTAGAAAAGTGTAAATGGGCAGAATTGAGAATACTTAAAGACGCCGGAATAACGACATACAGTAACATAATGCATATTCGAAGAAGAATGAGTCCTTTGGGAAAATAAACAAACCTCATTTCGTCAATTTTCGAGTACTGTTCCCCAACTCGTCGTCAGTCGTGTAGTAAATGGGAAGAAACAGTCGAAATTTAAAAACACCCGAAGAATAGATATTGCTTGTTCAGAGCTAAGGATCGGTCAATGCTGTGGATGATGACGCCTTTGTCATCGTCAAGAGGGATTGGCTGGAAACACTGTATAATGCTATCAACTCAAGACTATCGGGAAGTATCTTCAAGCTCGAAAGTGAAGTTAACAATAAACTCCCATCTCATGACCCCCTCGTACAGCGGAAGAATGACGCGACATTCCAGACATCAGTAACCCGCAAAGGAACTTCCGCGGAAGTAATCCTACATTACGAGGGCAACCACCCTATGCCTCACAAACGGAATACTGTTAACACCCTACTTAATCCAGCAAACACACACTGCTCTGAGAACGAAGGGTACAAAGAAGAACTCAATTATCTGTTCAACATATTTTCCCAAAATTGCTACCCTAGAGATTTTATACGCCGATGCATTAAACAGCAGGAATAGAAAGAAAGACATAAGGAGCTGGATTGTTCCGATCAGACGCCAAAAATATGTCTGAACTTGTTGAAGGACACCTGGAGAAGCACCAAATACAAGTGGCTCACAGACCGACGACTAGGCTACGCAATCAGCTTATACATCCTAAGGATAGGGTTGGATATTTGGATAAAAAAGAAGTACTGTAAGATTCCATGTGGCACTTGTATTGCGGCATATTGTGGCCAAACCGGAAAATCCGCCTCTACACGCGTACATGAACACCAGTTGGCAGTGAAAAGGGGGGACAACTTATCCCAGGTCGCCATGCATAGACTTGAAACTGGGCACGAATTCGCTTGGGATAAAACACTCATCGTCGGTTCCTGCCCACATACGAAAGGCCGAACATTCCTGGAGAACATTCACTCTGAGGATTAATGCATCAATCGATTCATCGATATTGACGCCATGTACACAAATCACAAGGAAAAATAGAAAGGTAAGAGTTAATCAAGACGTGACATCAGCCCACAGCATTGACCGATCCTCAGCTCTGACCAAGCAATATCGATTCTTTGGGCATGTTTAAATTTCGACTGTTCCTTCACACTTAATTCACATCTGACGACGAGCTGGGGAACCGTACTCGAATGTTTACGAAATAAATTTGTTCATCTTCCCAAAGGTTACATTCTTCTTCGAATTATGTTTCTTGGGATGCACATCTTCCAGTATATATATATATATATACATATATATATATATATATATAGGCAGAATAGTATTACTGACAAAGACAAGGGAGACTGGAATGGCCATTTCTGGCTTATTAGCCGTCGTCAGCCAGCCATACCCAAGCCCGAAGTGTGGAACACCCGAGCCTCGAACTCGCGACCTGTTGGTTTAGAAGTCAACGCCTCTACTCACGGCTAATAAGCCAGAAATGGCCACTCCAGTC